AAAATTGTCATATGGGTTAAAGAAGGGAGAAGGAGTCTACATAAAGCCCACCTTGACCCAGTGCAGCCTGGTACTCCAGAATTGGTAAGTTAGTCTTTTCTGTTTGTGCTGTGTTTATATATAATACACAGATTCCCCCTCCAAAGAAAAGATCTGAAACCTCCCTATGACAGAGAAACAGCCAGGTGGTGACACACAATAAAACTAATGCCCCTTCAAAGGCATTAAGGGGAGAGTGGCACCCAACTCCTATTGACTCCGAGAGGTGGGCATCTTAACTGCCCCTTTGAAAGCCTCCTCCAACCCTTTCAAGAGAGAAACTTTCTTCTGTGCCACAAAAGCGACAAATAGTAAGGGGTGTCCATCCAGTTACATTTGATCAGGATGACGATTGCTTTATGATACCTGGAGGGGGCAGTGAAGAGTTAGGCGATACTCCTGGAAGACCACCAAGAAAATAAAGGACCAAATGTCTCGGAAAGAACAGCATTTTGGCAGAACCAAGCCAATCTCCAATTCTGAGGTTCATATAGCCCTGAACAGATACTACCTCTCCCTATAGGTGGAGAGGTGAAGTACTTACGCGCCATTATCCTTTCTATGTAATCGTTGAGCATCTGGGTTAGCTGTTCTGGGCCACAGTTCAGGTCATTGTTTGTGTATAGCTTTACAAGGAGAGCAGTTAATCCTGTGACACAAGCAAAGACGGAAGGCCAAACTGTCATCCCGAGGGAGCTTTCAATATTGTCCCAAAGGATAGCAGACTTAACTAGGGAAGGGCTATAAGTTGAATAGTGGCAGGTCTCAGCTATTGGAATCAAATACACTTTCCATTACAAATTATAAGAATAATGTAGGGTTTGTGGCGAGTTTGGTACTTATGAAATAAGTGACTGATAGTGCTTTCTAGAGACATGCATGCACCTGCTATTCCAAGTCATGGGATTCTTTGAAGAGCTCTATTATTCGTGTTGAGCTTTGTGAGCGCGCCCAGTGGAAGGATTAACATCCACCAAGTCCTAGACCCAGGGGTTCTCAAACTGGGGGTCAGGACCCCTCAGGGGGTCGCAAGGTTATTACATTGAGAGGGGGTATCAAACTGTCAGCCTCCACCCCAAATCCTGCTTGGTCTACAGCATTTATAATAGTGTTAAATATATAAAAAAGTGTTTTTAATTTATAAGAGGGGGTCTCACTCAGAGGCTTGCTATGTGAAAGGGATCACCAGTACAAAACTTTGAGAACCACTGTCCTAGACTGAAGTTATCAGACTCACTTCTAATCATGACGTTGGACAAATTGAAACCTTCCCATCTGCTCAGTGAAGCAAAGCTGCCTCAGGATGTAGCAGGGATCAGGGCGGGGGACAGGTAGACAGACTGGTTCAATTGGGGGGAAAAGAAAAAAACAAAAAAAAAAAAAAACCCAGAGACTACTTTCTGCCAGAATTTCACAAGGTCAAATGCCCACTTTGTCTAAAGGAAAGCGAAAAGGGATGGAGCCCTTCAAGGCTGGGAGCTCACTTACGCAGCTGGCAGAGGGGATAGTAAACAAAAGGGGTTCTTTTCAAGGACACTCATATAGCACTGAAGAACCCTAGATAAATAAGTGCAGAAAACCCTTAAAGGCAGATGCTGACCAACTGATAAGCTCAAATGGTTGCCCCATCCACAAAGGGAGCAGACAGAGATTTGCCACAGGCAGCCCTGCTCCTCACCTGTAATCTCCACGCAGAGCAAGACTCCATTGAAGGTCTCCACGGAAGGCAGCATCTGCAGGAGGGAGTGATTGTTATACACCAGCAGGTCTGGGAGAAGGGCAACCACCATCCTCCCCATCTCCTGAGGAGGCCCACAGGAAACCGATGCCACCTCTACCAGCTGTGGGGTCCGAGTCATTGACTCCTCCTGTACTCTCTGCAGGGATTCATATGTCACCTTCCCACCTTGAGGGAACCAGCTGAAGCTTCCCCTGTCCCCTTTGCCCCACGGAGGGAATCTGCTCGGCACAGACATTTCCCTCCACTCCTGCAGAGATCAGTTCTCGCCCTCCACATCCCCTGCTCCTCTCTGAGGGGAGCTATGTGATGCCCCTGTTATCCGGAGGGATTCATCAGATGCTGCCATGACCTTCACCACCATCTGAAAAGGCCCACTTGACATACCCATCTTCCCCCACTGAGAGGGCTCCCCTGCTGGGCCCATGGCCCCAACCCCCGACTGACTCCTCCATCTTCCCTCTGTGAGAGGACCCTGCCAATGTCCCCATATCCCCAGCTCCTCTCTGAAGGGATCCATCCTGGGTGTTGCCCACCAAGGCTTCCCTCCCATAAGCTGCCATCTTGGTGCCAGAAGCAGCTTCAAACACTCAAAAGTTCTGAGGTGAGTCACCCTTCGTCAGCCAATCAGAATTCCCCACTGGGAAGCCAGGCCCCCTCTCAGGGCCAATCAGAACTCCCCACTGCAGGGCCACACCCCCAACTTCAGCCAGAGTTTCCCCAGCTCATGACCTGTTAGCTGCAAGTAGCCGTTTAACCGTTATGGTTTGTACAGATTAGTCCATCACCCAATCAAGACCCTCTACAAGGCACCACCCTCGTCAGCTGAAAGTCCTTATTCTGCTAGAGAATGGAGAAAGAGAGGGAAAAATAAGGGAATGTCCGTTTCCTGCTCCCTCGTGGTCTGCCCCATCCTGCAGGAAGCTCCCAACACACAGACATCCCTCTCAGGTGCCGCCCCCCCCCACAAAATTAATCAAACAAGACCCTACAGGCACAGTCCAATTATCCTCCACGGCTGCAGGCCATGCTACAGGGAGACTGGCTGCCTGAAGGTGCGGTCACCTGCAGCTTGCTCACAGGCCCCTGGTGTACAGTCTGGCCTTCATCAATATGGCACGCCACCCTACAGGAAGGCCACCTGTTTATAGATGCTGTGAACAGGGCCAGAACTTTTTTTGGGGATGTGCAGTGCAGAGGAAAGGGTCAAAGTCCTTCCAACTGCCCTGCAACTGCTCAACAGAAAAGTTTAAAGATAAGAAAGAAAGCAAAAACCAGGAGCTCAGAGTTTATAAATTTTTTATTCGCTGGATAGTGTACACAGTACTTACAATTGCATCTATTAAAGACAAAATACACTTGAAAAAAATGCATCATATAAAAAAAATTATAAACTTTTGAACTATTTACAAATGTTGCCTTACGTTACACAAATCTCAATACCTTCCCTCCCCCCCCATTCACAAAGTAAGAAATTGACTTTTTAACATGCAAAAGCCTTTGAAAAACTATTTAGCATCACTTAGGGATCATTTCCCACACCCCATTCTACACTTGTATAAAACTGGTTTTGATAGGTTCAATGCTCCAGTGCTTTAGGGGTCAACCGACCAAGCATCAAGTTCTCCTCATACCCATCATTATTTCTTTTATCCTGATCTGTCCTACTGTACTGTGCTCCCAATCTGGAATTTATGTCCAAATCTAGCCAATACACAAGCTAGAGTTCTTACATCCACTTACTACAGGCTTTTATCTCACAGCATCTCCAGTTTTATAATTTATTTGTAAAAAGAGCTTCAAATCTTTTTGTAACATGGTGCTGAGATCTTCAATCTCACTGAGCAAATAAAGGCCTTCAGAAGTGTGTCACTGAATACAGGAAAACCAAAACAAAGAAAAGGTATGACACTAACACCCAGGCTTTCACACCACTGTATAAAACTTACCTACAAGAACTCTCAATGTAGCACAAATGCATAGGTCTTTATACACCTTCTACAACTATGGCTCAGAGAATTTATTTGGGGGAGGGGCTATCTGGAAGAAGTTCTAGATGTTCTGTGAAGAGTTGTATAAGTTCTTAAAGAAAACAAACACTGGAGCTAATTACTCAGAAACAAGATGTCAGACCAACAACCTCCATTCCCTTAACTTCCCAACTTTCAGAGAAGATTCTCTGGGATAGAAATTGGTTGTAAAATGAAAGTAGAAAGACTGAGAGGCTCCCTTAATCCAGAATGGCACTACTCTTCCCACCCCCGAGCGTGCATTGGTAACCCAGATTGACAAAATGTACAAATGCTCTTAAAAAGTATTTACAATAATGTGTTCATTCAAACAAAGCAAAATATTTACTGTTCCTTCACTAGGAAAGAGTTTGATATTTCCTGAAATAGGGGACACGACAAAAAATGTTAAGCAAGGGTTTCATGTGAAGAAAAAAAAGCACCATACTCTAATTGGCCAAAATATTTTAAGACAGAGCAATCAACCAGAGATGCCAACGACGTAAGGGCAAACTAATGCTTTTTGAATAATAAAAAAATTAAAATGCAAAATTATAGGTAACAAATACAACCTAAGACAAAATACAAAAATAATGTCTTCCTTTATTTGCATGTCAAGAATTGAAACTAGGGTTCCATGTCACCCCTTAACTATGAATGTCACCAAAAAACTACAACACAGCTCCTTGCAAATTTTAGATCATTTCAACCATGGGGAGGAGGGGAGGGGGAGACATTGAACTAGGCAGGAAAGATGATCATCTTTAATTACAGAATACAGTCTACATGCCAAAGACAAATCCCAACGTAGCAATTCCCTTCCTGTATTTTCACTGGCTGAAATTTGGGAACCTTCCTAGGTGGCTGGGCCAAGAAGTCCAGTTCTCTTGGCATCTGGTCAGGCAGTCTCTCACTCCAGGGTGACTGCTGTCAAATTGAAATAAATCATTTCCACCTTTTCTGTTTCTCTCTTTGATCCTCTCTCACCTGTTTTTACTATTTTAGGTTTAGTATCCTTTTATCCAAAGGAAAGGGGTCTTCTGGTGGCATTGTTCACCCCTCCCTCACCTCTGTTTGCCACCCAATTTTCTTCCTCCAGTTTACACAACTAAATTGTTATTTTGAGCGTTCCTCCTGTTCATGATTTGAGGAGATGGTATAGGGCATATTCTCCAAACAACTGCGCTTGCTGTGCTACCTTAAGACAGACCTCTCTAAAATGTAACTAGCCTTTCCAAATCACCTTCTTCACTACTTCACCCATGAAGACTCTCCTCTCCACTGCTTTCATCATTCAGGCTCACCCATCACACTTAATTCTGGTGACCCAATAGAGTCTTAAGATTTAAAACACAGAGCAGCAAAAATTGGAAACAGCAGCAGCACCTTAGATGTGTAAAGGGGATCAGCTTAAGTGCGGATGAGGTAAGGGTGGAAATAGGTAACTAAATATGACTTGCTAAAAGGCTATAGAAACCTCAGATCCCATTGCCAAATTTCAAAGCCAGGATGACGGACCAAGTTCAAAATCCGATAGTGGCTAATCACAAGGTATTTAACAGATGCCCACATAAAGTCGTCACAAAAAAAGGGAACTAAAAAAAAAAAGCAAACGTTCCTCCTTCATTCTCTAAGTGCCATGTTTATAAGAGAGGACATTTCATAAAAAGCTTGAAGGGATTATCAACGTTTGCCCTCACTACATAAATAGTCTTTGAGCTAGACCAGGATGCACCAAATTGAGCTGGCCTCTGCTCCAGTTGTGATGCAGCCATCCTTCGCCCTGAATAAGGTCAAAGCTCTGTACAGAACCATCTGCAATTTAAAACACACTCAGACAGCCACACTGGGAGATAGTCAATCCCTCCATTCTGAGGTTCCAGATTTCATCTCTTTTGGAGCAACCAAGTTCTGCACTGGCAGAGTAAAAACAGACACTGCACTTCTTTTAGAAGAGAATCTCAAACTTTTTTATCATTTTTATCCCAGCAGCTGGATTTCTCCTTTCAATGCATCCATTGCTAGCAACATGCCACCAGCGCCAAGGTTGTTTTCCCTACTTAACTCTGAGCTCTGTGTCAATGAGCCACTCCCATCTTACTCCTTGGAACAGATATACAATATTTCAATTCTTGTAAAGGTCTTGCAATATTCACAACAACTTGACAAGATGGTTGAACTTTTCCCAGAACGAGCTTGCTGTTTACTTTTACAGGATGGAGCTTAGAGAACCTCTTTCTGTTCTCTTACACAGTTCCAGAAGGGCAAATGCAACTACAAGTGAACAGTTCAGCTGTCAATAAATGAAGTCCAAAGCTGTGAGGACTGGCTATAAACAACAAAACTCCACTGGGAAAACAAAGCACTGTGGTGTAGCCATGTTAGCTCTGGTTGCTACAAACTGGATTACTCCTCCGCAGAAGGGCCATGGCTCTCTATGGTCTGTTAGCCCTGCTTCAGCATGCCAAAGTTATTGCTAATCACTGTGTCAGTTGGCCAACCTTAATTCAAGAAATGTAAAAGGCATGAGTTGTCAGACTTTCAAACCCCTGCATTGAATTACACGGGTATACCAAGAAGGTCCCTACAATTTCTATTTGCTGAGTCCACTGCAGTTAAAATCTCAAACAAACCACTTACTGGAAAGGTGGTTTTTGTTGTATAGAAAAGGGTAGGCTAAGATATGGTGATTGTCCATTGTCCCATTGGAAGGTTTGCTTGATACACTGGTAAGATAGGACACGCTTGCAGAGGGACAGGAAACTTGTTCAGTTACTTTTTCCTTCGGACAGTGGTTAGGATACTCTGATCATTTGTGTCATTGCTTCTTCATTTGCCTGAGTTGGATCCTGTAGATACAAAAGACAAACAATACTGTGACCCTGAAGTATTTTCCTTACAGCAAAGTACTTCTACTACAGCAGCCAATCCTTGAGGGCAAATATCTCCCTTTGTCCAAAAGAAAAAAAATTATATACAAAGAGTTACTGAGCCAGAAACTCAGCTTAGTATAAACCAGTGTCGTTTCACTGACTTCAATGGAGCTAACCCAGTTTACACCAGCTGAGGCGCTGGTACATAAAACCTACAGGTTAAGAAACTAACTCTGCAAGACTCTTCCAATCAAACAGCACACCTCCGGTAGTAAATGCAAGACTACATGATTGGGAAAAGATAAGTAACCTTAGAAGACAAAAGTAGCTTTGCCAAACCACCTTTTATTGCCATAGTTAGACAGGTGTGAGAGCTGCCAATATCTTCAATATTCAAAGCCAAGTGATGCTGTACCTTCAAACTGCTTTAGAAAGCTGGTGAACACAAATGCAGCATGCAGTTAGAACAGGGATTTTCAAACTTTTACCATTTGTGGACCCCTAAAAAATGTCAAATGGAGGTGCAGAACCCTTTGGAAATCTTAGTCTGAAGACCCCCGGGGGTCCACGGACCACAGGTTGAAATCCACAGAGTCAGAATGTGGAATTCTAATTCAGAGGAACCAGTGAAGTTTTAGTTCCTGGGAGTAAAGAGATAATTTAAGGCTCTCCTTCCTTAAGGAATAACAGCTTACATCATGTCTCTCCTCTCCCTTAAGGAGTAACATCTACATCCCTTTAAGTTTAAAATGTTGACAGCATTACTCATTCCATCCCCGGAAAATTTATCCTCTCTCTACTGCAAACATTTCCCCCACATTTGCAAGGGACACTAGGATAGAAGAGGCACAAATTTACAGATGACAAGAACGCTGTATCACACATCACAGAGAATTATGAGTTTTAAACAGTATATTCCAGACTACAGCACTAAATTAGATGAATTTCAAGCAAACTAGCTCTGTTCTTTGACAACTGCTCACAACTCAAGCCAATCATATACTAGACATAGTTGGGAATCTTTACTTGGGAGGAGTTGGTATGGACTAAAGAAAGAAGTATCTTATCCCTAAAGAGAACGGATCTCTTAGGTTAAAGATACACTGCTACCTCAATGCTGTAAAAGGCAACGGTGTTTTCTATCCCATTATATTCTCTGAAAGCCGCTCCTGGCTCCTTTCACTTCATTAAAAACAGTGTGAAATATTAAAGCTACTTTTAAAAATAAAAAGATCCAAGCATGCCCACTTCTGAATTTCAAACTGCATGCTCATTGACTTTCATCCATCTTTCACCACCATCTTGAGGCAGTAGACAAAGAGGAGCAGCTGACTGCACAGGCAGACAAATAGAGCTATTACATTTCTCTCCATTTATAAAACAAAGTTGAATACAGGTTTATATTAAGATTACTATGGCCTAGCTACTTGACTGGGGAAAGAGGACAAAGGCCAGGGGCTTAGCCCAACAAGGTCAGGAAAGCTGCAGAAAAATTAGAGCCCTTAAAAGTGTTTTTCTGAGGGCTACTCGGAAGGTGTGTGCAAATTCAGCCATACAAAGAACATAGCCGGAAGCAAAGGTTTTGCTCACCTGCATATCCTTTTCCTTCGGTGAGAAAAAACGCCCACCTTCTCCCCGTTTCCTAGCCATGGCATGACGATGTCTAGACTCATGCAAGTATTTCTGCAACAATAAGAAAAAGAATGGTCACGAGTCATTCAATACTTTCTAGCTCAGTATTATTACTGCAGCTAACTGAGCACTCAGAACCAATTCCTTCTAATGAAAAACAAAGAATGCCTTTGAGGAAAGTCAGTGTACTCGCCAGTTACAATATAACCACATATACTTTCAACAATTAAGAGCCAAGGAAGTAAGTAGGATTTCAACACATGGACTCAAAAATGGCTCTGATATCTGTCAAAAGACAAAATGTGATGAGAAATATCCATCAGTGAGACAGACATATGTATGTTGCACAAGGCAGGAAGAAGTCTATTAGAATCCATTCCAATTGTCTCCATGTCACCCAAAATGTCTTCTATACCATTATAATGCAATGTCATTCCTCCACACGATGCCTAAAAAGTAACCTTGGGTTATTATACTCACCCTCCTCTCTTTGGGGATTTTCCCCTCAGCTTCCAGCTTGGCTCGTGCCTGCCTCCTCTTCAGGATTCGGTGGTACTGCTTGGCATTTACATAGAGGGGCTCCTCTTCAAGCATCTCTGCCCCTGGCAATGGAATCCTCTGAATAGCTGGTACTGATCCAGCCCCTGGTACCATCTGTGTAAAGAAGAACACACTCAGATGCATATGGTTCACAGCAGATGCTACATACACAAAAGGAGATACGATCAGTCCAAAAATATTAATGCAGAAGTAACTGAAAAGATGTATTGTCTGAACAACTGTGTCTGCTTCAAAGTGATGGAGTATCAAAGTCAACTGCACACAATTCAACAAACTGTCAGTTACATATTGCCAATGTTTTTGATATTTTGTTTGTATAAAAAGCTAAATGTAAATAAATTATATTACTGTGTAAAGTTTCTCTAAACAAATGTTCACTTTTGTACTGATTGTTTTATATCGGACATTTACATGACAATGATATGAAAACCTGTTAAAATTCCTAAATAAAAAAATTAAAAAAAAAAAAAGGCTGCACAATACCTAGCGCTCCAAGCAATTCATTTTCCTGTACAATGTAATGTAGTATATACTCATCTCTTCTATTGGTATTCTATTAGTGCATGTTCTACTTGTCTAACAATTTCTGTATGTTTATTAAACAAGTGCTATTCATAAAGTGTCTGCTGCCATCTAATGGAGCCGAACAGTAAAACACAAGCCAAGAGGGAATCTCAGCACAAATGTAGTATGAACATGAGCAGAACAAAGCCCTTATTTACCAGAAAAAAACATCTGCGGGATACTGAAGAATAGCAAGTTTTTGCTTGAACTCTTCAAATTTCTAAGTATCTCTAATAAAAGTTCCTTTAAATTAAAATTTTGAACTTCTTTGAATTTGATGATAAAATTATTTGGGGGAGAGGAAGCATGACCTATGTAATCACTCCTCAGAGATTAAACCAGGGCTGGTTCTACAGCCAGATGATTAAGGTGGCCAACTTCCAGGGGACCCCATACCTCTTCTGTGTGTGTGCACGCGTGCTATCTTCTGATTGGCTGGCTGGCAGGTTTCTTGGGGTTGGCTTTGGGGTTTGTATTTTCTTGTTCAGCCACTCAGGCAGGTGGGGGCAATGAAAATGTTTTCTGCGTGGCCAGCAAAATGGCTAGGACTACTCCTGGATTAAACATTACAATTTATTTATTCCAGTTTTTTTAAAGAGAGTTATCAGAAGAGGAAGCATGACCTATCTAATAATTTGCCACACAAATTCAACAGTACAATTATTTACTCCAATTTTAAATCCATATTAAGCCAATAGGAAGTCCTAATTACAACTAATTTCTGAGAAGACTGAGCATATTAGGTGAAACTAATATGAATCTCAAACCGCAGTTTGAAGATAGTAAACTTAAAATTTAACTTGTAAAATGACAAAGTGAAAAAGAACTTGGAAATTCCATACGTACCATAACCATTCCACCTGAATTGACCACATTTCCAGCAACTGGTAGCGTCACAGTTACAGTCCCTTGCCCACTGCTAGTTGTATTGGTGTTGGCTCCTGCCTGGACAATTTGTGCTCCTGCCAAACTGGCTGCTGGGATGGTGATCATGCCTGTAACAGGGACTGTAACTTTAAGAAAATAAAACACAAAACAAAAAAACAAAAACACGCACACAGAAAGAACGAAGGGAACACAATTAGTCCCACTTCTATTTTCATTCACTCACTCTTGGATAACGTACAAGAGGATGGCAAAAAAAATGTTACAAGCAACCATTAACCAAATCCCATCATCTGTCCTTAATACACAAATGCACTCAACTTTTCAAAGTGTTCATTTGTCATATACATGGGAATCACAGCCCAAATGTGAAGCCATTTCTCCAAAACCTCAAAAATGAAATGTAAATGCTTGCACTCCCCATTGACAATTTGTCAGGAACCCAAAGCTCATATTTTATTTAAACATTAAACCTGAAAGTGAAGAACTGATTCTTATTCCGTAATCCCATTTGCACTTTCCACACCAAAGAGCTTTTGTCCTATTTGCAGGCACAGTTATATTTGCAGATTCCTAGTAACCAGCCCTGCAAAAGGGGGCAGGGGATTAATTTATCTGCTTCACTGTGGTCTGGGAAAAAGGATTTCTGTAGCTATTTAAAAAGTTAGTTCTACAAATGTGAATCTATATGATCAATGTGAAAAAAATCTCCTGCACTTATTTGTACATTTCAAACTCTTTGTATCTGTACAGCTGTTACAGCACATTCTGTTACCAGCAATATAAGGCATATCAGAAAAAAATCTTACGGATGTCAAGAGTAGTAAAAACCTACAATTCCAACTCTAAAGACAGACAGAAGGAAGAGGAACAAAAACTTTTGCTCTTCCAATCGTCATGGTGTTCCTCGACACTAAGGAGCCAAGAAGAAATGAAATGGTATGCGTCTCTCTGGAAACTTTCAACTATAACTTAAGAGAATGTGCTGTCCTTTATATGCCAAAGTTCATACCTTGTTGAAGAATGGTTCCATCAGCATTAACAGGCTGATAGACAATGGTCTGGCCTTCTGCTGTCTGTGCCACCTGCTGCCCTTGAACTGCTATCTGCTGCTGGGTCTAAATGGAACAAAGATCACCACAAATTACAAACTGCTGAGAAGTTAAAGATTTCCATCCCTGTTAATGTCCATATTGAACCCGAGGACATGAGTCTCCATACTCAGAATAGAACTGTGTATTTACACGCCAATTTCAACTGGAGATTAAAAGATACTTCAAATATATACAAAACTTTTACTTAAATTTGTTGTAAGGAACAAGACAACTGGGGAACTAAATTAACTGACCAAATCTGAGATGCATCAAGAACTTCTTGTAATATTATTGCGTAATAGTAGTAGCAACCACAAGTTTTTCAAAAGTTCTTCATGGGAGACATCTCAGAGTTTAAAAAGGGCAGTTCTACATACACAAATATGTTTAATATACTGGGATTTCTTTTTATTTATTTTTTTTAAGATCTAGGTCTCATATTTCATGATCGACATGTTAAACGGATACTCAAGTAACAGTAACAAAAAAAACTGTTCCTAAATAAAAAAGATTTCACAAAAGTCAAATGTAACTATAACTGTTTACAATTTTTTGGGGTGGGGAATGTTAAATTCAACAGTATTTTTCATTTTAAACATTCCCATTCAGGGAATCCCAAATCAATAATGTACAAATAAGAACCAGTTGGTAAAACTAAGTGACAAATACAGTTATTCTGTCCCAGCAAAGCGATTTGCAAAAAAGAAAATAGCATAAAAGCTGATGTGTTACAAATGTATTTATTTTAATATCAGATGGTTCTGGATACTAACTTTCTAACATCTGCTCCCTTATTGTAAGCCCATTACAATCCCTTTCATGCTGGTGCAGTTACCTGTGTCTGGCCAGCGGTAACCGCAGTCTGTGGCTGCTGAATAATGATCTGTTGGGTCTGGCCCTGCTGACCCTGTACCTGCACAGCCTGGCCACCTTGAATCTGAATCTGGCCTGGCTGGACCAACTGAATCTGTGGAAGAAAGAGTCAGAAAGGAACATTAACTAAACCTGTTAGATTTTTCCCTTTGGTCTCAGCATTATCGAAGCATCTTCCAACAGTCATCTACTGCGGCCATTAGGAAAACCCCCACTAACTTTCCTCTTTTAATGGAGACAGTTTGTTTTAATGTATTCCTGCCCCGTGACATAGTAATCACCGATGCAAGGGAGGATAAGACTAAGCAGAAAGGAGCAAATATACATGCTCATGTCATCATGCCCCATCAGTTTTCCACTGTTTACTAAATACAGCATGATCAGAGAGAGAAATACACTAGCCTTGAGCATGAGACCAGGGATAATACTTACCTAAATCACAGGAGGAATGGGACTTTAAGGGTTAATTAAGATAGCTGTAAAGTATCACAAGTGCTAATTATGAAGCACATAAAAAGTAGCCTGGTATTTACAAAAGCGTAAGACTAACCTTGCAGAGAAGAGATACTTTCCACGCCCCCCTTGGTGCACCTCTCAGGATAAATTGGAATACTGTCAGCCCCCATTGCTGAAGATTCCAATTACACACTTTCTTCTAATATACAGGCTGTTTAGAGTATGTTACACTGAGAAATGATAGTAGTGTTTTCCTAATATATAGTGCCTTTCAGCCAAGTATACTGAAGTACTTCACAAGTCACTAAAAAAGCCCATCAACACAGCAAGTTAGTGGCACAGCACAGACAAAAATTCTGTGACACCAGACACAATCCCCATGATCTAACTAAGTTGCTTAACTTTTCCACCCTTTGTTCTTGAGGAACACTTATCAAGGCCTTGCCTAAAACCAAATGCTATCTTTTAAATAAACAGTTCTATCCAATGTGTATTACTGAAAAATAATCCTATCCCATCCAGCACTATTACTCTCTGTGAAGCCTGGGGTTTTAAATTCTTCTCCAGCCTTCATACATAGGAATAACTGAACTTCATGTTAGTCCTGAAGCATTTTCAAGGAATTCTATATTTTTATGGAACAAGCACATGAGTAGGCATGGAACTGCTGTGTGTTACAGCTGCCAAGAATCAGAAAAAGCTCTGGCTGCATTTCAGGAGATTGTGCTGAGTATATTTGCAGCATCCATTGGAAATATACTTGAAATACAGAAGAAGCTTCACTTTAAATATTTGGTTGTGACACAGAGGCTCATGGGCTACAGTTGGCAAAGAGTTCACTATCATGTAACAGCAACGCCTAAAAAGCCTGACAAATGCACTATACCTAGCCCCTGCTTTCACAGTATGTATCCATAAAGAATGGCATGTGAGGTCTCGAATAAAAAGTTTATGTCATACTGATCCTCATAATCACTGCATGACATATGTACGAATGATATTTAAGGAGTTGTGTATACACATTGAAAATATGTTTTGAAGTCTGTCACTGATCAAAGAGAAAAATAGGTTTCTTCAAGACAGAAGGTAAGAGTATATCTCTCTGTCAAATATAAATTAACCATTGGAAGCCAACACAATGGAAATGCCTTTTATATATGAAGTCAACACGGGAATGGAACGTCAACAGGGACACAAGACACTGGAGACAGAACCACAGGGGGCTGTCCTGTCTCTGGGAGCAGACAATGAACTTTGGGGCATACAAAGGAAGGCAAAAAGACTTTATCTGGCACCTGAGGAAGTAAACAGACAGTGCATCTACATTCATGAAAATGGGATCTCAACCAGGCTTGGTTGAAATGCTGCAGAAGACATTTGGGGTGAGAAACTTCCTTAGACAGAACCTTAGCTTGCTAAATTAAGTTTAATCTCTAGTAAGTGAGTGATGACTTGGTTTTATACATAACCTGTTTCCATGATGTTTACTCACTATCTCTTAAAATTCAATCCTTGATAATAAATTCATGCATCGTCATCACTATAAATACAACTCCATGCTGTAGTATTAAACAAAGAGCTGACACTGGGTCGAATCATTCAAGCCATACACAACTGCCTTCGGGGGACAGCTTACCTGGAACAACTATCAGGTTTCAGTGGATAAGGGGCTGCACACTATAGGGGGAACACTTCAAAGTGGCTCAGAGATTGGGGTGCACCTATTGTTAACCTGCAAGGCAAAGTAAGGGCTGGCATAGCCCTGAGGAAAATATTTAGAGGCTAACAAACTGGAGGCCTCAGGTAGCTGGCACAAGTTAAGCACATTCAATTCTTCCTCTCGCTGGAGGGAGGGAGAGATAACAAGGGGACACTCAGTCCTGGGCACCTGGAGAACTGTCACGGTAGTTCATACAATGCTCACTGGGGCAGATCCTCAGCTGGTATAAATTGTCATGGCTCCCTTGACTTCAAAGAAGCAATGACAATTTACACTAGCTTATGATCTTCCCTAGGACAGTCACAGTTCATGCCTTGACCATTATGATTAATGAAATGAGAGTGTACTGACCTGCTGCAATCCTTGCGATCCAGAAACTGGGACTTGCATGATGGTCTGACCCTGACCCCCAGGCACAGCTTGCACCATGATTGGCTGGCCAGTAGATGTGATCAGCTGACCTCCGCTTACTTGTACCATTAATGGCTGACCCTGGACCTAGAGAACAGAAGAAACAACAAACAGAACAATGAAGCAAAGTCAGATGATAAAAAAAATCTCAAGTGAAATTGATAAATATTAAGGGCTAAATGTTTATTTCAGTGGAAGGGCCATGAAAACTAAATAATAGTCTCTCAATTGTTTTTATGCACAACTTCCAACAAACGAGATTTCTAAAAGTGTCTCCATCTTGTGTTGTTGAATTTAGTAAGTTGTCCTTTTCTGCTACCGCCTAATCAAAACCACAAAGTCCAGATACAATAAAGCATGTACAATATTTACATCGTACATATGGCTAAACTGTCCATACACTAACATAGACAGGGATTACCTCTATATACAGCCTGAGAACTGGAACCTTTCAAAAAAGAGCTCACAATCCACAATAAGTCTTTGTATTTCATTAAGAAGTCCAATGCAGATGAGTAAAGGCTCCAATATAAAGCTACCTTGGCAGGTGGGGTTCAAGAAATTATGTTCTCATAGCATCTTAATTTCCAGATGGCTATGGCATGAATTGTTCTTGGAGCATCTTCTTGTGATCATAAAGGGAAGTTGTGCTTGTAACAGCACAAAGTATGGCTCAGAAAGGAAGAGTGGATGAAGTGGACCAACAAGTCTTGGAATGGTGAAGGTTTCTAGATCAGACATGAGAGCCCTTACAAATATTCTTTGGGAAGAGGCCTGGGGGAGAAAGGAAGGCAACGGAAAACTCCATTCAGCTATGCATATCTAGCAAGGAAGAGAGCCATCTGCACCAAAATAATATGCCAGACGAAGAGCTCAATAAAAGTCACATCTTTAGGTCTTAAGCTTGGAGTGGGAGGCAATTGACAACAGGATTATTCTTCACTGCACTTAACACATTTCATAGAAGTGAAGAAAGAGCATAATAGAGCAATCACTGAACTCCAATTTCAGTTATCATGGAAACTTCAAGGATTTTCAAAAGGCAAATGACCATCACCTCTGACTTCTACCTCCAGATCTCTCATTTTTGACACTTCTATCCCACACCTTTCAGCTAATTACAGTGCAGGAGAAACAATCCGTGACTGAATTATCATCAGTAAAAAACTTTCAGAATTTATGAAATTATCTAAAATAATAAGGTCCCTTAAAGGAAAAAGCTCCGATTTCTATATGTTGAAATGCATTAGTGGCTTATACAATGACACACACATCAGCAACCCTAGGTATGTATCAGCTGTCAAGCTCCCAGATAGGATATCCTGGCTTCATTAAGTCATCTGATAGTCCTACTACTCAGTCTCTTCCACCCACTCTTCCCACCATATAAAAACCACTTTCATTAATGAGAAGTGAACAGTATGCATTACAATATAGTGAAAAAGATGCAAGCATGCATACATCAGCTACAAAGCAGCAAAAAGTAATTAGCATGATATGCTTAAATTGAAATAAAATGATAATATAAATCCAGGATTTTTGTTAATGTATTTTTAAAACGCAAGCAAGAAAGGAGAGATGAAAAGCAAACTTTTCAGCAATAGGACTGTGATACAATCAAGCTCCAAGCAATTGCCTCCAATTTTACCAGCTCACCCTCTTTCACATTTTAGCTCACATCAGGAAACCACTGCATATACTTCATTATTCGCAGGACCATTCTGACCATCTTGAACTTTTTTTCTCTCCAAAGAACAGAGGAAGGCCCCCCACCCCCAAAAAGACCCCAGACATGGGTAGAAAAAGCTGTATCAATCTTGTAACATCTACCATGAAGGGGTTTTTCCATCCCTTTAAAGAGCTGCCACACAAACCAATGAGATGAAGCTTTTAAGATGTGGAACATTTCACATGAACAGAAATCAGGGTTTGAAATAACCTGCATCCCTTCCCAACTGGTAGTGAGTTTTGGTAGTAATTAAGATGCAATTTATGGATCTGCTTGTGTTGTCACAGTAGAAATATGTGGTCAGTAATTATCTCAATCCCATAGTAGGCGAGAAAATCCTCAGTTTTTGTTTCTAGTAAGAAAAAAAATTCTCTCCTCAACCCAACTTTGGCTTCTTTCCACAGAGAAAATACACAAAAAGTCCCACTCAGCACTGGATCTGAGAGGTCTGAATCTCTGAGCTAGGTCCTGGGGTTTGTTTTATCTCTTGCCTGCAAGTTGTAATTTTCTCCTGCTTCATTCCTATTTCCACCAAAATTCATCTTCATAATCACACCAGCAGAGAGTTTTCATGAGTGGATCAGGGTTTGGCTGCATGCATTTTAGATCCAACAAACAGCTCTAACCGCTTCATTCGTTTTATTGAATGAAACTGCAATTAACATATGTCCCAGCTGCTACAGACCAATGAAACTGCTACTAATTCTGTCCCTATTTCAAACCCTGGTAGAAACACAGCATTAGCGATGAGGCGATGGGGAAGTTCATGCAGTGCTCACATAGACACAATTAGAGAGATCACCACTACCTGGAGGGTCTGGACTTGCTGGCCTGAGGCGGTTGCCACCTGGGCCTCTGTCTGCAACTGGACAGCAGTGACACCACCCTGCTGCTGGGAACAGGAACAGGAATAGCTTGAAACTTAACAACAAGGAAATGTAGAGCTCAAGGCAAGAGAGAACCTTACTGATGGGACAGGGAGAACTTAAAGTTCTCCTATCACTTGTTCTTGAAACACAGGAATGCTGAACATGCTCACATAATCTTAGGAAAGGAATACCAGCAAACCCGATGTAGGCTCACTGGCAGGAGACAGCAACAAACAAAACATAACGCAGACAACACTGTCAAGGTATTTTTCAGAATTTGACATTCCTATTGTTTTTTAAATGATCCCATGTTTATTTAAGTGTTTTCCCTTTAATTGCACATATTTGTTATTACAGAGGTGCGGTTGCTCTGTCAGACCCCGACTCCCAAATAAATGGCTCCAAAGTCCTTTATCCAACAGAAAAGGTACAGCATGGACAGCAGCAAAGTAAGTTTTACATACCCAGCCCATATGCTTGAGGGGCAATCTGAAGAGAATAGTTTAATCTCTAATGACCCATCCTATCTCTAACCTCTTAGGAGAGATTCCCAAAAATAATCAGTACCAAATGCAGTAGTGGTTTGAGAGACATGGACATCCATCCCCAGAGAATTAGACTAAGATTGGACCATTCACATTTTGTTAAAGACAGCATTCAAGGATTCCTTTTCAAAACAACCACCACATATGCAGTACTACATTAACTTTGAAAACTAATTCAAGAAATTAAAACTAGGTCAAGGTTTGGTCCTACTGCCTTTTGCAGAGTCCCTTTAAAGTGTTACAGGATTACAAAATGTCAATCTACCAATCAAAAGTGTTGATTTTAGCCATCTATCAGCATCAGATTCATGGTTCTCAATTATCCACAATTTATTTTCTTTATAACTTAGTGATGGTCTCTGTAAGGGCCACATGCTGTTCCCACTGAAGACAAAGTCAATTTCCACAGTGGAAGTAGGGCCCAGCCTGATGTGTCTGGTATTTACACTGCTTGACAACCAGCAACAAAGTGCTACACCTCTACCTCGATATAACACTACTCGATATAACATGAATTCAGATATAACGCGGTAAAGCAGTGCTCAGGAGGGAGGGGGGGCCTGCGCACTCCGATGGATCAAAGCAAGTTCAATATAACACAGTTTCACCTGTAACGCGGTAAGATTTTTTGGCTCCCGAGAACAGCGTTATATCGAGGTAGAGGTGTATTTTAAATTGAAAGTGTGATTCATATTGTCTCACTCATGTGCATAGCAGAAATAAACTAAAGAGCTCACTTCCACTGTCCCAAACAAAAGCAAATAAGGCTTGATGAACACAGCTAATCCACATAACCAGCTTGAAAATTCATCACAATATGAGGCTAGGTAAAGATAATATTTTAAAAGCATGTCTAAGACTTTCATAAAAGCAATTCTACATGCCTGAACATTATTGTACCCAAGCCAGAAGTTAGTTTTTGGAGGAATGATTCAGACAAACAGTCCAACAAATGACAGACTGATCAGTACAAAGCAAAAGGCCTTTGTTGCAATTACTTTGTTATTGCATTCACCCGGATCTTTCAGTGGGAGCAGAAAAAGTGATTCACATGAACATCATTGTTAAAGGAAAGCTGGAGAAATTCTCAAAATTTGCTTGAGACCATCCTGTTTCAACCCTTGAAGATAAACAACTGTTTGTGAACATTAAGTGCTCAAATTTACATTTTGTTTCATTTAAGATCTTCACTAAATTTTTATTATTTTTGTTCGTGTCAAAGTCCCTAATCTAATTCAACTTTGCATTGTATGTATCAGTTGTTTCTATTATTTTATTTAATATAGATTAGAAGTGCTAATATTCAAGCACACTCCAATGACAGAATGAAACTGCTGATCAAAGGATAAGACAGTCAACCAGCCATGCATCCAGTCACTCTCACTCAGCAACTTGATGGCCTGGTCGAACTGTAGAGAACATGACATGCCTTATGACCAAATATCAGGACCTCTAGCTCACTCTTTAAGATAATTTTTCCATACCTGCTGCTGAATCTGTCCAGCTTGCACAACGATCTGTTCTGTGGAACTGTTGCTGTTTGCTGTGTACTGCTCCATAGTGTCTCAGTTCCAATCTTGTGCCCAATGCACCTCAGTCTGGATATCTGACAAGACAATAAAAAATGCATCATTGCTGCCTCAATGGCTCAAGATAAGGATTAGTTTACAGTAGCCGGAAAACAAGCCATCTAATGACATTTAGATGATACGCCTTAACAGTCAGAACACCATTGTTTCAAGTAAAGGACCTCCCCTGTGTCATTTGCATTTGTAGTAAGAGACAACATATTTTAATGTGAAAATTAAGTATTTTCCTAAAACTCATGTGTAAAAAGAGGCAGCATCGTCCAACAGCTTGGGCACCAGACTGGGATTCAGAACAGGGTTCTATTCCCAGTTCTGCTGCTGATCTTGAGCAAATTATTCCACCTCTCCCGTGCCTCTGTTTCCCCTACTACCATTTGTCTGTCTTGTTAGTTTAGACTGTAAACTCTTGGCCAGGGACTGTATCTTACTATATGTATAGATAGCACTTTATGCATGGGGGACTCGATCTCAGTTGGGTCCTCAATGCACTACCACAATATACACTAATTATAATTAATAAGTAAAACATTGCAGTGCTGAAAAGCTCATTGTAAACATCACCTGAACACCAAGCTACATCTCAAGAATTTCATAGATTTTCAGTTAGACAATGACGTAACAAGAGGGACTGAAATACCCTGTGCTCTTAGGAATGAACAGTTTTCCCCATTTCTTTTCCTGCTTCTCTTTTAACTTGAAAACAGATGGCTTCTCCCATCTCTCTCCTTTTCCTGATCCCTCACTCCAATGCACAGGGGAGAAAAGGCTGAAGTAAAACCATTCCACAGCTCTCTTTATTCTCATCTCCATTTCTTCCTTTCCTAGTTGATTAGCAAATGAGGAATTCTGATCTTCACTTGTAATGAAGCATTTGTTCTACTCTACCATTGAACAAGTCACTGCTATCCAGGTTCAAAGCCAGCCTGAATTTTTCATCAACTTTAAAAAGAAAAATAAAGGAATTAGATTTGATATCTGCACAGGATTTAGTCACAACATCCACTGACTTCAACTGGCTGTGTAATGTCAGAGACAAGGTGGGTGAGGTAATATCTTTTATTGGACCAACTTCTGTTGGCAAGAGAAACAAGCTTTTGAGCTACACAGAGCTTTTGAGCTGCACAGAGCTCTAACTTCAGTTAGATTCCAGACCTGAAGAAGGAGCTCTATTTAAGCTCAAAAGCTCGTCTCTTTCACCAAACAGAAGTTTAACTCACCCACCTTGTCTCACTAATATCCTAGGACAGATGTGGCTACAACATGTGTAACGTGAGTCAGTTAACATTGCAACGAAGACTTAAAACGTTGTAATTCCTGGCCTTTATGTTTATCTTTGCAACCTAATACGCATGAATTGTTTTGTATTTATCATAAAGATCATTGCAAAAAGGCTTTTCATTGATTTACTCATCTTTCAAAATAGATTGATTACTTTGAAGATTGTTAGCTCAGTCAAATGAATATAATCAACATGCATCAGGCCAACAAAAAACAATGCGCAGTATGCAGACAGACAGACTACATGGCCTAAATGTGGTAACAATTTGCTTATTCCCTCTGCCAAAAGCTTTGTTTGGAATTAAGAAATACAACTACCCCTCTGATCAGAGCAAAAATCTGAGTCATAGCACAGAAAGATACAACATTGTGCTGCAACTGTAACTTTATCTGTCCTTGGCCCATTTAGAGAGACAAGGTGGGTGAGGTAATATCTTTTATGGTGCCAACTCCTGTTGGTGAAATAGACAAGCTTTCAAGATACTCAGAAATCTTCTTTGGGTCAGTAGTGTTTTTCATGGCCCAGCAAAATAAGAGTGAATTTGGGCACTGATTTCAAAACTAGACATAAATATGGTTGCATTTTAGAAAGCCCAGCGGATAGATACGTTCTCCTTTTAAAGGGTTCAGCTAAGTCAGACCACCTCAGGCCGAGTGCTTTTCTGATCTCATGAACTAAACAGGGCTAGGCTTGATCAGTATCTTGGATAGGAAACTAAGAAAAATCCAGGACATTGCAGGAAGTGGTGGTGGCAACATGACCAGTGGCACTGTGACTTCAAAGTCCGTTTAGGAGACCGGTCTTCTGCTTAAAATGTAATGCTGAAATCCTGATTACATGGCCAGGAAAAATTCCCATCCCATTTTGCAAGAGTATAATCATTAATACTGATAAAAATAATTTCTAGTTGTTAGTTACATTCTGCCTACCAAAAGTTCTCCCTCTAGTTTCAACCGCATACAGTATTCTTCACTTCTGTCCTAAATGCTTGTGCAGTAGCACATGAAACAGCTCCCACATTCCATCCTTCGAGGCGGCATTTCAGCAGTGAGTGCAGGGTGCCAGCCTATTATATAGCATGTAAGCCAAGCACATACTAGCAAGAAGTTCCTTGATTTCCTCTACTCTACAAACAACCTTTAAGCAGAGACCTATTAGTCATGAATATTCTAAGACCCAAATGCCAGGCCCCTTCTTCCACACCTGAAGTTCTGGGAAATTTCTTCTCAATCCAGCTTTTTTGGGGGTCAGAATAAGAGAAGAGAATGAGATTTTAGACATGTAGGATCATGACTCCATCAATGGCGAGGACAGAAGATCTACTTAGGAGGGGAAGCAGCAGGGGGGAAAAGACTACTTTTTTTTGTTTTTTAAATACAGCTTATTTGTCCATAGACAATCATTTAACATTTTGTTGCCTCATAAGAAGGCACGGAGAGAATTTTCTCAAACCAGAATTTTTAAAAATTAATGATTCTGTATTATGCTGCATGCCCCTCCTTCAAACTGCTGGTCTGACTGGTCATAAATCCTGTATAACTTGAAACTAAGGTACTTTCTACACTAGAAATAGTTGGTTGGTATAACTATACCAACAGACCCTCCCAGTGTAGATGCAGTTTATGCTGGCAAAAGCACGCTTTTGCTGGTATAGTTTATATGCCAGTTCTCTGAGTGAAATAAGCTATACTGGCAAAAAGTTCTTTTGATAGTATAACTGCATCTACACTAGGACGTTTGCCCATATAAAAATGTTGCTTAAAAAAACCCCCACCACACCTAAGCGACATTACCATACCAGCAAAAGTTTCTAGCGTCAACATGGGTTAAGTATAAAAATGAAAGCAGTTATACCTCATCCTGTACTTCAGTAAGAACATACATGACTAATCACATCCACTCTCCCCAAAGTGCATCAGTGAAAGTCAAAGAAAGAATTCAGCCAAAAACAACAGCTCAGGAGAGTCATCTTGTGTTATTCAGCAGCAATAGAGACGCGGAGGCCAGTTTTCATTATTAACCTCATCTGGAACCTGCAAGTCCGTGTACGCATCTAGAGATTTTCAGTCCAGTTGAGCATTATGTGCCTTTTGTCTAGCATGGGCGTTTGATTGTGGTGAGCTGCTGACAGCAGGATTTTCTTAGCCCACAGAGCGCTCAGTGCTGATGAGGGGAAGGAAGCGGCAGGCAGCCCCTCTATGGGGAAGGGAGAGACAAACTCCTCACTGCTTACCAGAGCGTTTTTAGCTGCACAGCTGTTCTCCTCGGGGAACGTGGGCCGGGCTGCTCTGTACTGTGGGGTAGGGGATGGGGTGCATAAAGGGTCCTAATCCCTGGGGGAGGCGGGATGCACACAGGGTCGTGCCTCTCATACTGGCCACAGCTGCACGGGAGGTGGACCCGGGGGGGGGGGGATCCTGACCGCTCCCCCGCCCAGGCGCGGGCTGCAGCCTGCTCAGTAGCTCTCCCCCGCGGGGGCACACGCAGCTGGTCTCCGCTCCGCGAAGGGGGAGGACGGGTGGCCCGGGCCCGCGCGCACCGCGAGGCCCATGTGCCAGAAAAGCCAGCGGGGCTCGCCAGAGCCCCCTCCCCGGCTCGCCGAGGGCGGGGCCCGCACAGTGGCGGCTCCCTTCATGGCGGCCCCTTCTCGCTGCACAGAGCTCCCCGGGGCAGAGTCCCCACCCGGGGAACGGCCCAGAGCCGGGCCCCTCCACAGCGCGGAGCGGGCTCGCCTCCCTCTCCCCCGAGGGCAGACCCCGGCCGCCCCCTCCAGCCCGGGCGGCGACCCCAGGCCCTGCTCCCGCCTCTGCTGCTCCCCCGGTGGCCTCTCCGCCCCGGGCCCTCCGCACGCGGCGCGCCCGTCCCAGGCCCAGCAGCACGAGCCCCGTCCCTCCGCTCCCCCAGTGCCCGGCCAGCCGGCCCTGCGAGCGGCCTCCTGACTGGTCACTCGGCCCCGCCAATCCCGGCGCTAGGGCCGGCGCTCGGGGGCTCCATATTGGCTGCTCGCACTCACCGTGCCTCGCTCCCCCGGTTCGGGTCCCGCTCTGATTGGCTCCGCCACCGGCCCCCGAAACCCAATCAGCGCCTCCACTCAGCCGCCGCGCAAAATGGCGCCCAACCCTGAACAAAGAGAGGACGGAACTCAGGGCGCATGCGCCGAATAGTTCCGCCCGCCGCAGCTCTGCAGGATACGCCCACCCGGCCCGACCTAGCCTAAGCTCTTACGCATGCGCTAAAAATGCTCCCCCAGTCGAGGCCGCCAATAATGCGCATGTGCTGATAGACTCCTCTTCTCTAGGTCTTCTGCGCATGAGCACATTGACAGGTAAGTCCTGGTCTGCTTTCCACCGCCGAATGTTCTGGGCTGTTACCATAGAGAGGGTGCTCCGCCACTCAGCCTAGATAGGTAAATGGATGGAGGTTGCCATCTTTGATGTCCTACTAGACTGTACCAAGGGGGGGAGGGGGTTGTTTAGGAACGAGGTTTACCCACGTCGTGGCCTGTCGTTTGGACTCAACTTGCAGAGGCGTGTCAGGTGCGGGGGGGCGGTCCGTGCTGGTGGGGTCCCCCGAGGGCGTGGGGGCCGCGCAGGAGGTAGGGGTTGTCCCTGGTGGCCCGTCGAGCGGTCCTGAAGGGGAGCGTGGAGGGGCCGGCCGCGTGGGCTCCCTCCCCCGAGGGGGTGGGGGCTGTCTAGGGCCGGCCGCGTGGGCTCCCCCCCCACACACACTCCCTCCCCCAGTGGCTCTGTAGGCAGGCTCCTGCGGTGGGCCTTGAGCATGGTAGCTGTGTGCGACTCTCTGGGGTCCTTGTACCTTGAGCCTGCTTGATGGGGGGAGGGATAGCTCAGTGGTTTGAGCATTGGCCTGCTAAACCCAGGGTTGTGAGTTCAATCCTTGAGGGGGCCATTTAGGGAACTGGGGTAAAAATCTGTCTGGGGATTGGTCCTGCTTTGAGCAGGGGGTTGGACTAGATGACCTCCTGAGGTCTCCTCCAACCCTGATCTTCTATGGGGGGGGTTCTTCCCTCGGGAAATACCTGCTTGCCACTGCCTAGTGGCACATCTCCTGGGGGAGGTTTGCTTCTTACACTCCTGGTTGTCCAGCCTAGTTCTGTATACTTAGGGCTGGTCTACACCCAGCCGCTAGTTCGGCGGCTGGGGATCGAAGTTCTGGGTTCGACTTATCGTGTCTGGTCTGGACGCGATAAGTCGAACCAGGAAGTGCTCGCCGTCGACTGCGGTACTCCAGCTCGGCGAGAGGAGTACCGCGGAGTCGACGGGGAGCCTGCCTGCCGTGTGTGGACCGCGTCTGAACCGCGGTAAGTTCGAACTAAGGTATGTCGACTTCAGCTACGTTATTCACGTAGCTGAAGTTGCGTACCTTAGTTCGACTTGGGGGGTTAGTGTAGACCAGGCCTTAGTATCACTTATCTTGAAAGGCTTAATAATCATGTTTCTTTTCTTTAACCTTGCAGTAGAAGAAATCTTGGAAATAGCCTCACGTTACCATGGCCAGTCCCCCCTCCAGGGATCAGGCAGACCGAGTACGTAGAAAATTAACTTTTTAATGCAGGTTCCTGCTATTAAATACCCCAGTTTTTATCAAAGGAACAGCCGTGTTAGTCTGTATCCGCAAAAAGAACAGGAGTACTTGTGGCACCTTAGAGACTAACAAATTTATTTCAGCATAAGCTTTCGTGGGCTACAGCCCACTTCTTTAGATGCATAGAGTGAAACACACAGACAGAAGATATTTATACATACAGAGAACATGAAAAGGTGGAAGTACCAATTGTAAGAGGCCAATCAATTGAGATGAGCTATCAGTAGCAGCAGAAGAAAAAACTTTGAAGTGATAATCGAGATGACCCATAGAAGGTGTGAGGAGAACGCAAATTAGACACAACTAACTTAGGTCTAAACAGAGACTGGGAATGGTTGGGTCATTACACTAATTGATTTTTTTCCCCCATGTTAAGTTCTCACACCTTATATGGGTCATCTCGATTATCACTTCAAAGTTTTTTCTTCTGCTGCTACTGATAGCTCATCTCAATTGATTGGCCTCTTACAATTGGTATGCGTACTTCCACCTTTTCATGTTCTCTGTATGTATAAATATCTTCTGTCTGTGTGTTTCACTCTTTGCATCTGAAGAAGTGGGCTGTAGCCCACGAAAGCTTATGCTGAAATAAATTTGCTAGTCTCTAAGGTGCCACAAGTACTCCTGTTCTTTTTCCCAGTTTTTATCCTGACTCAAGGAGTGACATTTTCCCCCTAATAAAGTTTTCCAATTGGCATATGCTCTAGAGTTGTGATGTAAGAATATTTGGTTTTGGGGCATGGCTATTTTTGGGAAGTGGCAGTCTGACTACATCGGTGATCAACAACTGGTGGATCCCGATCGACTGGTCAATTCTGTAGCGTTTGACAGTCGATCGCGATCTCCGGCTGCTAAAAGTCCAGTGGCACAGCAGGGCTAAGGCAGGCTCCCTGCCTGCCCCGGGACCATGCCATTCCTGGAAGAGGCCAGCACACCTCTGTGGCCCTGGGCGGGGGGAGGCAGGGGTCTCTGTGCACTACTCCTGCCTGCAGGCACCGCCCCTGCAGCTCCCATTGGCAGGGAACAGGGAACTCCCCTGGGGCTCAGGCTTCGGTTCCCCCTCCTAGGGTCATGTAGTAATTTTTGTTGTCAAAAGGGGGTCACTGTGCAATGAAATTTGAGAACCCCTGTGTACATCAATCCAAAGCACAGTTTAGCCCAATGCTGTTTACTTTAATAAATTACTGCCCCATTCAATATGTTTGCACTAATTCAACCATACCAGTCCAGTTTTCTTTAATTTAGACTGTGTTTTCATAAAATGAACTGATCACAAATCATGTAGGTTTTGCAAATGACCTATAGGAAAGGCTGTGCAACACTTAGCTAATCTTCATTCATTCATTCATTTGCAAACAGTGTCTCAGTCTAGTCTCCTGTCCACTATACCATCCTGCTTTGGTTAACTCCATTTTTTTTCTTCCTTATGTGATTCTGAACATTGACGGTGGACCAAAGTTGAGTTCTCATTCAACTCCTATTTGTTTGTTCTTTTTCAGATCAGGTACATAAAAGGGGACCTTTTTACCTGCCCCAGAACGGACTCATTGGCTCACTGCATCAGTGAGGACTGTCGCATGGGCGCTGGGATAGCTGTCTTATTTAAGAAAAAGTTTGGTGGCATACAGGAGCTGTTGGATCAGCGTGAGTGATGTCTGTGGGGAGGGGAGGCTACTATAGTCCATGTGCAAGCCCGAGCCTCTAGCAGTAGTCCATGTTTACCTAAGGTATTTATATAACACCAGTCACAGTAGTATCTAGGCACTGATTCTAGGACTGACCATACTGGATCTTAATACATTTGCTGTGAACTATTTGGGGCAGGGACGTGATCCACTTCTGCATTTGTACAGTGCCTAGCACAGCAAGCCCCTGAGCCTGACCATGGTTTCTGGGCTGCCATAGTATAAATAATAATGAGACCTTCAACTTTTATGCTCCCTGGTGTTGTTTACAGGGATAATTTTTTTAATTTCCAGTTAAAGAGGAAACCAGACAGAAAAGCCAACTGCCCGTGTATGTTGGTATTTAAATTTGACCTGTTTCCATCTCACTAATTAATGGGATTCCAGTGGGATAGAGTTCACAACTCACTGATATAAATAAGTTACCGTAGAACCTCAGAGTTACGAACGCCAGAGTTAAGAACTGCCCAGTCAACCACACACCTCATTAGGGTGACCAAATGTCCCGATTTTATAGGGACAGTCCCAATTTTGGGGTCTTTTTCTTTTATAGGCTTCTGTTACCCCCCGCCCCCTGTCCCGATTTTTCACATTTGCTGTCTGGTCACCCTACACCTCATTTGGAACCAGAAGTACCCAATCAGGCAGTAACGGAGACTGGGGGGGGGAAGGGCAAGTACAGTACTGTGTTAAACGCAAACTACTAAAAAATAGAGGGAAAGCAGCATTTTTCTTCTGCTTAGTAAA